ATTACACTTGTTTTACGGATGAGGAAGCTAAGGCTGCAAGAAGGAAACTAACTTGTCCCTGGTCACATAGCTGCTAGTAAGCCACTGAGCCAGAGATCAAACCAAATCCTTCCTATGCCAGAGCCTGACCTCTTAATCACTACATCAAACTTCCCCTTAAAAATGCGCCTTGGAAAATCAGATCACCATAATGCACATCAATGACAGCTATCATCACAAAGAGAGACAACCAGACAGAAGGCTCCTGAAGGAAGCATCACATGCTACCATCTTTGAAGTAATTTTGCCCCTGCTCCACACCAAAAAAAAAAAAAAAAAAAAAAATTGAAACTGAATCAAACAAAGCTTTTAGATTAGGGTTACAATTGCCAGATGAAATTCACAATGACCAGATAAAACTGAATTTCAGATAAACAACAAATACTCTTAGTATGATTATGTCCCAAATTTAATGCATGGAACATACTAAACATTGCAAGGGACATGCTTATACTAAAAAATTACTTGTTATTTATCTGAAATTCAATTTTAACTGGGCACTGTGTATTTTTATTTGCTAAATCTGGCAACCCTATTTTTGATCCAACTACTTGTTTATAAGGAACACAAAAGACAGAGAAACATATTAAAGCAAATAGGATAAGGCTACCTGCACCAGACTATGGTTAACTATACAAGACAGAAAAACAGATTTCTTCAATAAAAAAATATCAAGGCTTGATGGGGGGGGAATGGAGATAAAGTAAGAACCTAAAGACTAAAAAGAGACTCAGGAGACACAAAATCCAATCACAATGTGTAGACTACTTGGATTTAGATTCAGATTATTTAAAAATTCTTATTGTGGTATTATTGGTAATTTGAACACTGACTGAATGTTTTATTACATTAAGTGGTACTGTGGGGGTGAGGAACAGTGGTATTGTGGCACTGAGGTTTAAAAAGCCCTTATCTCTTATAGATCATTTTGAAATGTTTGTGGATGAAATGACATGATGTCCTGAAGATGTTTCACAATACCCTGGAAGGGAGGGAAGAGGAAGGGGTAGGGATGTAACAAGATTGGCTTTGAATGATGTTAAAGCTTCCTAAAAAGTACATGTGGTTTCCTTATGCTTTTCTCTCTATTTCTGTATATGTTTGAAATTTCCCATAATAAAGTTTTTAAAAGAAACAATACCCAGCACAGTGCCTGACCTATTGTAAACACTTAATATACATTTGGTAGCAGGTAAATGGGTTAGTTTTTTAAAAAAAAGGAAAGCTTTCAGCCAGCCATCAAATGGAAAAACATTTTTTAAATGAGATTGTAAGCATAACTGTGTATGAACACACAAATGAGATTCATTTAGGGACTAAACTACACTCAAATGGAAACAATGATGAATTTGCTCAGACAAGGGAATTTGTTTATTGAAGATGAACAGCTGTGAAACTCTAGGCAGAATAGGTACACATACTACAGGTACTTAATGTTGGTAAACACAAGACATTTTAACCCTCCAAAAATGTTATGTAGAAAACAACCCATCTTAGATTTTCTTCAACATGTATTACTCCAGTGAACTACTGTAGAAAGCTATGTTCATTTCCCAAAGGCCTCTGCAGTGATTTTGAAAATCTGAGTGCTCATATGCAAGTGAATAGCCAATTACTAGAAATTAATGACTTTTTGTGCTGAATAATGCATGACTTGGCAGGATGGCTTTACCAAAAATGCAGTATTGTCAGTTCTGAATGCAGTTTTGCTTCACCTACTGGGTACGTGAAGGCAGCCAAACTCAAAAGCAACGCTCCCCCACAAGGTGCAGGTTAGTGTGTTTAGTAAAGTGCTCAGTGCAGGTTAATGAAATGTTTATTTTATACTTAATATTCCACTACATGGATGCACCATAATTAATTCAACCAATCTCTTATTGATGGATGTTCCTCTCTTTTACTTATATAACAATTACAATTGTTATTATAAATAATACATTTGCCCTTATATATTTACAATTAACAATATTATACAATTAATTGTTAATTGTATAATAACAATTACAATTGTTATTATAAATAACAATACATTTGCCCTTATATATTTAGCCTTACATTCTGGTGCTTTAATTTCTGGGGGAGAGATCACAAGAAGTGGGTTTCCTGGGCCAAAGACTATAAATATTTTTAATTTTAACAGATACTAATTGCATGTAATTTTAAATTAGGACTACAATGTAGAATTATGTTTTTAAAATGCAATCACGTAACTATAAATCAATCATCTCACTATTCTTCAAATACTAAGGATATTTAAGCTCTGCTTTAAGTAAAAAACTGGGTTTTTAGACAATCTGTCATTAACAGTGCTTTTGGTATTGAAAATCCTGTGGTTTATTCAGAGCATCTTGCAACAATACTTCCAGTTTGGTATATCTCTCTGTACTGGATAGAAGATGCATTTTAAATTGCCTCCTTGTCACTCTCTGAATTCAGAATGCCATTCTGATGTGTCCTTCCTTGGTCCCTTTTTGCAAAGAGAGACTGGTTCTCTGCACTCTTTAAAAGGTTTTTTTTGATGATATTTTTGTTTATTTTCAATTAACTCTATTGCATTTTGTGTATTTGTCTGAAGTTAACTAAAATTTACTTTATAAAATAGTATAATATGTAGACTAATTTTTAATCATCGTTCCATATAAAAAGATGTACTATTTTTTCTGTCTTATACACAGTGCATAAACTGTTAATTAGATTATCCAAATTTTCTGTCCCCTGAATTACTTTTTTCTAGTTAATCTGTTGGTTTCTTTTTTAATTTATTTCTTAATTTTTCAATTACAGTTTACATTCAATATTATTCTGTATTAGTTTCAGATGTACAGTAAAGTGCTTAGAAAGTCATGTACTTTACCAAATGGTCGCCCACTATTTCAAGTACCCATTTGGCCCCAAGCACAGTTTTCTTGATATTAGTGACTATATTCCGTATGCTGTAATCTATATCTCTGTGGCTATTCTGTAACTACCAATTTGCACTGCTTAATCCCTTCACCTTTTCACCGGGCCCAAAATCCCCCTCCCCTCTGACAACTGTCAGTCTGTTCTCCATATCTATGAGTCTGTTTCTATTTCGTTTATTTTGTTCATTAGATGTCACATATAAGTGAAATCATATGGTGTTTATCTTTCTCTGTCTGAGTTACTTCACTTAGCATAATACCATCTAGGTCCATCCATGCTGTCACAAATGGTAAGATTTCATTCTTTAAAAGGCATTTTTATTGGTATCTTTTTCTCTTATCTATTTTGTCCCTCTAATTTTAAAGATCCCTTTATTTGCTGTTCTACAAATTCAAAAGTAACAAATGCTTGTTATAACCAGTGGAACAATACAATACAAGCATGTATAAAGACAAAACTAATTACCCACAACTCAACTTCCTGATGTAATCAATAGTAGCAGCCTGCTGAAGAGCCTTCCACAACTCTCTTTGCTCATACAAACATATCAAAAACACGTGTACATACATAAAATTTTGTTTTCACCAAAGTATAATCATACTATACACATTATTCTGCAGTCATTTCACTTAACTATATATGTACATATGTACATACATAAACATGTATTTTATATATATGATGTGCAAATAGACAGTATATTATTTGAGAAAATATAGTGAAGATACTCTACAGACTTAAGTTCCTTTCCAGTACTAAAATTCCTTTTTGTATTCCTTTAAAGAACATAACACCATTATAATTATTTGTAATGAACTGTTTAATGTCTTTCTTCCCTGCTACACTGAGGGCTCCATGAAGGCAGGGTGGGGCTCATTTTGTTCACCACTATAACTGCAGAATTTAGGGTAGTGCTGCCAGAATAATAAATGCCTAAAATCTATTTGTCCATTGTTTCAGTTCTTCTCGAAAACTTCCGTCTAAACTGGTCCATTGCCAATACTCAAATACATGTGTCTTTAGGAACTCAGGCCTGAGTAAGTCACCAATGTTATTTGGATGGAACCTACTGACAGGCATTTTAGATATTTGTAAGAATTTGTGCTATTTAGCAAAAACCTCTGTTTGCCACAAAAATGAATTTTTAAAGGCAGGTAACATGTTTAGCAGAGAGCTCTGCACTTGTAATTAGGAGACCTGGGTTCTAGTCCCACCACTGCCATTCATTTTTCTGTGACCTTTAGAAAGCGCCTTACCCTGGCCCTGGCTCCTGAGCTGTAGCTCTAGCGTTCATTAATTCCACAAATATGTACTGTTAGTGATACAGGGGTGAAAATAATAGCCAACATTTAATGAATGCTTACTTTATGCTTGGTCTTTTGCTGATGGAGTCATATGCACTATCTCGTTTAATTTCCTATGAGAAAGCACTCACAGGATATTTTCTATACTTTGCAAAGAAGGGGACTGAGGCATAGCGAGGTGAAGGAACTTTCCCAGCATACCAAAGGACGCAGTGAAGACAGGATTGGATTCCAGACAGTGGGGCTTCGGATGCCATTCCAATAACCATAGCGAATCCTTGCCCTCATCATTCCATAACTATTTCTGTGGCTTGCATTTTCGTCCCAGCCCAGGAGCACTGGGTTGAGTACCCTCTTGTTAACTGGAGGGTGCAAAGACGACGGAATACGTTAGAGAAACGATTAAGAGAGCTGACACTAGAACTGCAAGGAGCAATGCTCCCACTAGCCCTCGAAGCTTCCCCGCCCCGAACGTGAAGAGGTGGGAGGTGTCAGCAGGTCAGACGCACGCAGACCTCTCTGGGGTCTTAAAGGGTAAAAACGGCGTGCGGGTCACGCCTGCAGGACCCNCCCGCCTCTCTGACCTCGGCAGGGGGCGGGGAGAAAGGGCGTGCTACGTGTGCCTGGCCCTTCCAGCGTCTGCGCGGGCCCGCGGCTCCGCCCCGCCTAAGTCTCGTTGGCCCCGCCCGCCGCCCGCGCCTTCCGGACGTCCACTTCCGGGCCCTCCCCACCTTTAGCGAAACCAGCGAGAGGACACCGCTTACATCTAGAGCGGCCCGGCCGGGAGCGGAACCGAGGGGCGCGCGAACGTGAGAGGAAAGCTGTGCGCGGCTGCGCTTTCCCACCCCTGAGACTTTCTAGACACGGGTGAGTCCGTGGGCGTCGGCCTGCGTCCGGAGCGACCCCCAGAGGGGCCCGTCCCCACTCTTGGGAATGGCCTGGGCCCTGGCCCACTCCCAGCATGCTCTACGCGGGGTACCCGGGCAGGTGCAGTGGTGGGAGTAGTTGGCGGGGGCCGGGAGAGACTGAGAGCAACCTTCTTGGAGGCCCTTCTTGGTCCTTCAATGGGGTCTGGAGGTGACCATGACCTCCCGCTCACTTCTTGTCTCCATTTCACCCTCCTCCTCTTCCCATACTCCACCCCAACTACCTTTACCTAAAAAGGTTCATCTCAAAAACCACTCTGGTAAGTTTTGCGTCATTTGTGCTCCTGTTCAGTTTTAAGTTTCCCTCTCCTCTGCACCAAATATCCTGTCATGTGCATCTCCAGTGTTACTTTTGTTTGTTTGTTTGTTTGTTTGTTTTTGCCGCCCCTAATGGAAAAAAGATCTATCCCTTAGAATAATTGGTGCAAGTAACACATGAGTAGAATCCCCGTTCAGGAAGAATTCTGACATACATATGCCATTATTATCATATATTTATTATCATATATTATTATCATATATTATTATCATATATCATATTTCAGAAATAATGAAAATTGCATAAGATGAAATGCCAGAGTCTTATCGAAATTAATTTTAGAATGCATCTGACAATTCTGATATTAGGCAGAACTTGTTTCCTGTCAAATATCTTTTCCTTCTTAGGGCTGTGTTTATTGACCAAGTTCTGTGAGTGACACAAAAAAAACTGGCCTTCCTCTTTCCCCATCCCCCACCCCCACTAAGGAATTAGATCTGTCAAGCTATCCCACACCTGTCCTAGTAGAAGTCAAAGTCCATTCCTCTAGAAGAAAATCAAGGGTGGTTTCCTTGTAGCGGTGTGGTAATGTGTGCAAAATGTCAATTGCAGTTAACAAACCTCACATTTTTTTTATTTGTAGGAAAACGAGGTAATTCTGTAACTTGTTTATTAACTTAATAATATGGGTAGAAGCACTGTTAAGATCATTATTATGAAATAGAAAAAACTTGAAACTGATGTCAGGAAATCTAATTTTTAGTTCAGTTCTACCACTGACTGTGTGACTTTGGGTCAGTTACTTAAACTCGTTGGACCCTCTGTTTCCCTATCTGTAAAATGAGAGAAATGACATTAGGTAGCGTCTAAGACCCCTTTCAACTTTAAGAGGCAAAGAAAAACTCAGTAGCTAAGTAGACCATTCCTGGTGGAGATAGAGGGGAGACTGGGAAAATTTCAACAGTTGTATTTAATGTTGGCTTTTATTTTAGTTTCTGATTGAAATAAAAGTGTAGCCCTAGCCAGTTTTGCCTAGTGGTTAGAGCATCAGCCTGGGACTGAAGGGTCCCAGGTTTGATTTCAGCCAAGGACAGGTACATCTGTTGCAGGCTCCGACCCCAGCCCCAGTCGGGAGGCAATCAATCCATGTGTCTCTCTCACATCAATGTCTCTCCCTCTCTCTCCCTCTCTCTCCCGCCTCCCTCCCTTCCCCTCTCCACAAGTCAATGGGAAAATGTCCTCAGGTGAGGGTTAAGAAAAAAACAAACAGACTAGCAGTTTGCAAGGAGCCAGAAATGAGGCCACAGGAAAGGAGGTGGAGTGTGGTCTTAATATGTGTGAGAGAGGGGAATGGTTATAAGCAGGGATGATGGAGTGGGAGATAAGGGAAAACTGATCGAATTGTGGTGAAAATGACACTCAGTCAACCAAAGGCCTAGTAATCAAATAAGACTCAAAAAGAAAAGGGACGGGAGTTTCCCATGAATGGTGGTAGGCCTCTGTGAGAGAGCAGTGCCTTGTGGTCAATCAGGCCTCTCCTGCCACCACTGGGAACCATCACTTTTGTACGGTATTGACTTTGAGGGGCAGGGCATGAGGACACACAGCACTTCTCATCTGTTCCCTGTCCTTTTTCCCATTGCAAAGTTTTGGGTAAGATACTATCANCCTCTCTCTTCCCCTCCCTTTCTTTTTCTCTCTCTCCCTCTTTCCCTTCCACTCTCTGGAAAGCAATGGAAAAAATATCATCGGGTGAGAATTTTTTTTAAAAAGTATCAACTTTTCCCCTTTTACTTCCCCCCAAAATAAGAAAATGCCTTGGGAGGAAATAAAAATGGTCATTAATGGTTCCCAGATATACCTATATTCCTATATTGACTCAGTTCTTATGCAAATAGTTCAACTATTTTCATCATGGTCTTTTATTACATCAGTTCATTGGGATACTTATTGGAAACCATTTATTCTTAGGAACAAAAGGGTAAATATTAACATATGGTGTCAATCTCAAGAAACTTGCTTTCGTTATACTCAAAACACTTAAGGATGGCAGCTGTCAGTTAAATAAAGCATTAGGTTGAGAACAAAAATGCTAGCACAGATACCATTGGTGATTTACCCGTTGGTGGTGGTTTTATCTCTTCAATTTAAGGTTTTGATATAAAAGTCTATAACAGCAGAGATGTTTAAATAATATAATGCAAGCTTGTGAAACAAAATTTCTTTAAAGGGAATTATAGACAGGTAACCTACGTAACATTTGTTTCTCAGGTTAATGCTTTTAGTACTTGGTTAATTAAATCCCCATAGATGAAGTACAAAAGTAGCCTCCCAGAAAAATCCTGCATAGAGGTGTTGCTGCAGAGTTCCAGTTTATACTGAACAGTATAAATTGGAACCTCATTATTCCTAGGCTATATGCAACTAACTTGATTTCAAACTTGGAAACCTTTTAATGTTAAGATAAAAATTTACGTGTATAAGGAACACCAAATTAAATCAGTAGGCTAATATGTTTCTGTTAAGTATCCTAAGAATTTTTTTCTTCTTTGTAGGAAAAATGCTTTCTGAAAGCAGTTCATTTTTGAAAGGTATGATGCTGGGAAGCATTTTCTGTACCTTGATCACTATGCTAGGACACATTAGGATTGGTTATGGAAATAGAATGTACCACCATAAGCATCATCACCTACAAGCTCCTAATAAAGAAGATATCTTGAAAATTTCAGAGAATGAACGCATGGAGCTCAGTAAGAGCTTTCGGGTATACTGCATCATCCTTGTAAAACCCAAAGATGTGAGTCTTTGGGCTGCAGTGAAGGAGACTTGGACCAAACACTGTGACAAAGCAGAGTTTTTCAGTTCTGAAAAAGTTAAAGTATTTGAGTCAATTAACATGGAAACAAATGACATGTGGTTGATGATGAGAAAAGCTTACAAATATGCCTTTGATAAATACAGAGACCATTACAACTGGTTCTTCCTTGCACGCCCCTCAACATTTGCTATTATTGAAAACTTAAAGTATTTTTTGTTAAGAAAGGATCCATCACAACCATTCTATCTAGGCCACACTGAAAAATCTGGAGACCTTGATTATGTGCAGATGGAAGGAGGAATTGTCTTAAGTATTGAATCAATGAAAAGACTTAACGGACTTCTCTCTGTCCCTGAAAAGTGTCCTGAACAGGGAGGGATGATTTGGAAGATATCTGAAGATAAGCAACTAGCAGTCTGCCTGAAATATGCTGGAGTGTTTGCAGAAAATGCAGAAGATTCTGAAAGAAAAAATGTATTTAATACCAAATCTGTTGGGCTTTTAATTAAGGAGACAATGGCTGATCAACCCAAACCTGTAGTAGAAGGATGTTGTTCAGATATGGCCATTACTTTTAATGGACTGACTCCTAATCAGATGCATGTGATGATGTACGGAGTATACCGTCTTAGGCCATTTGGGCATATTTTCAATGATACATTGGTTTTCTTACCTCCAAATGGTTCTGACAATGACTGAGAAGTAAAACAAGAGCATGTATATGATCACTGTATAGGACATGTGTTGTCATTATTTGTGGTAACAACTACATATCCAACAAAGCAGTATGTTTTGTTTTTGCTTTTTTCTCTTTTTCAGTTTGGTGACACTGGTTTAATCACAGATTAAAATTTAGTAGTACATTTTTAAATAGAGTGGGATTTTTCCTTAAAACATGAAAATTTCAAACATGTTGGAAAGATATAAGAATAATTTTGCAAATCAAGCATATATTTATAAACATGTTTATGTGATAAACTAAATTATGAACATTAAAATCTGTGGCACATATTTTTGCTGATTGGTTAAAAAATGTAACATGTCTTTTTAGCTTTCTAAGATATGCAAATGGATCTCTAGTTGTGAATTTGTGATTAAGGTAAAACTTTTAGCTGTGTTTCCATTACTTTTAATGTTGGTTTATGTTCTAAGCCTCCGCAAGTGCCAATGATTTTGCTTTCTCAAAATACACAGCCAACAAAGGAAATGTTCCCAACCAATGTAATAGTGGAAGTTGAAATCTATCCTTGAGAGAAAAAGTGACAATTATAGAGTTTAATAATTTTCCTGGGAGCTAATCTAGTGGCATTCCTCAGCATACACAATTTCAATGTAACTCTCTGTACTTCTCTATGCAGATACTGAAATTGTAGTGACTATGAAGAATGTAATGTCATTTAACTGTGTTGTTCCCCAGTTAATCAAGCTCAGCTGTGACTCGGATAAAACTGCATCAGTTGAGATTTATTTACTCTTGCTGGGCAAATGAGTTTTGTAGAAGTCTCCTTTGAAAAACTTCTTTTGGCAATCAGACAGTTTCACTTACCTGAGTTGAGTCTTTCCTAGTTTTGTTTACCTGTTCAAATTCTGAAAATTTTCCCTATGTTCATGGTTGTACCATATTCCAACTGGTTTTGGTGTGGAAGCCTTAACCTCACCATTCACCTTGGATTACTATACCATTTACCTAATTTCAGTGCCTACGCAGAAGCTTTATCCAGTGGTGAATACAATAGCTCCTGTGCTTATAAATGTGTGAAATACTTGGAGCTGACTTGTCCTATTATTAGGCCTGCACATGTCTTATTAAGTCAGATCCATAAGGCCCCATAGGGTTTGAGACCATGAAATTTTAGAGATCAGTATTTCCTGTAGCAGGGCTCATGATGTTAATGGTCTCCCACAGCTTTTGCAAACCAGAAAGAAATTTCCTCAAGAGGACCTTGGGCTTCAAATTATTGGTCATCAGAGTAGTGTTTAAAACCCTTTTGTTTTAATTTATCTGATTTTCCTCGTTGGGGCTTTTGGTTAAAATGAAGGGTTATTTTGAAAATTAATAAACCCCTTTATCAAGCAACCTAATATGTGGTCTCAGATGCAATTACTACAAATCAAATGTTCACTGTGAGTCCAAAGATAAACAGTATCTCACTAACTGTAACACCCAGTTTATAAGTGTCATCTTGCCCCCAACACCAATATATTAAATTTCTACTATATCACATTCGGTTACATTAGTGTATCGTGATATAGTTGTAATAAATATATCAGTGAATGCATTACAGTGTTTGATTTCCTAATGGGTGCAAACATAACAATTGCTTTTAAATCAAATTGATACTCTTGATTATATTTTTATACATAAGTATTTCTTTATAAGAAGTTGGTTGTCTTAAATAACATGTTGTTTCTTTGAACTTTTTTGTACCACATCTTGTAGATAAAATCTGTAACATAGAAAATAGTAGTACCGAGGTCATGGTTACAGATTTGATCACCATACATTCAATAGCCAAAAACTGCAACTCTAACCCCACTCTGTTACTTGGGAGGAGAGTTGGAAAGAATGAAGGTCTAATGGAAATTGATCATAATTGTGAATATATTTTATATATGGCTAGTGGCTACCACATTGGAAAACACAGGTGTAACAAATTCCAGAAGTGTGAGATTCACTGAGATATGAATGAGAAAAAACAAAGTTTCTTTTAAAAGTTGTATTTATCTTTCTGGTTGTCTTGAATACAGTGGAAACTGTAACTTGACTTTTAGCAGGCCTCAGGCCATCTCCTTAGACAAATTCAATGATTAGATCTTCCTTCTCAAAAGTAAAACATTGGATTTGGAACAATTTACAGAGTCAACCCCTTGACTTTTTTTTCATGTAGCTAAAAGATTGCTTATGTGTCAAATCTAATTTGTAATGCCCAGATTTTTCTGTAATGCATTTTTGGTAAAATGAAATACTTTTATTTTTAGAATGTTTAAATAGGCACCGGATGGTCAAAGGTAGAGTACTCTGATAAAGCAGGTCATATAAGAATTGATACCTGAGATTCACCTGGCCTGGAATCTCCTGGATCATAGGTCAATGTTCAACCACTGAGCCACGCCGGCCGGGCTATATAACTTTCTTATTTGAAATTATGACAGGCAGGTTTACAACAAAGTTAAAATTTCAAACTATCCAGGTTGCCATTGAAAGCAGGATTGTTATTCATTAATTATATATTTTGCCCACTTTCTTAAACAAACCTTGTGTCCTATAATGAGCCACCCAGCGTGAGGCACATTTCATACCCTGCCACTCTCTACAAGCTCATGTTTCCCCTCTCCCTTTCTGCTAAAAGTAGGGGAACTCATGGTTCAAGAACAAGATGCTAGGGAGATAGATGCTATAGATCCAGCCTAATAATAGAGACCTGAAGTGAACAATATGTTCTCTCTCCATTCCATCCACCAGCAAGCAGAAGTACTTGAGTTCAAACGAAAAACGTGAAATTTTATGCTTAGAATACCAGCATCCAAGAACAGTCAGAATACCCCTCCTTGCAAAAACCCAAGAGAAAGGCCAAGAGGAATTGGCATCTACCTGCCAGGTCCAAATGTCTTCTATCCCTGGCTTCATCGGAGTCAGGAGATTTCCCTAATAAGAGAAACTGCTATTCTGAACAAAATTGTTCTTTATAGTAACCCCAGTCAGAGGTAAGGATAGTTCCTTCACAAAGTTCCAAACTTTTGGACTTCTAGCAACTATTCGCTATTTCTCTTCCAGTACTTGTGTCATTGATTCTTTTTTTTTTTTTTTTT